CCTCATGGTGACAGTCATCTTTCATAGCATCATACTTCCACTGTCCCATGGAGCAGCAGCTGTGTTCCCCAGCAGCTGCAAGCATGTCAGTTACTTACTGGGTGGGGCTGTTAATCCAGTAGGGGGCAGCTGAGGCCTGGACTAGGTGTTTGGAGAGAGGAAGCTTCTGAGAGGGAGAAGTCACACAGTCTGGTATTGCCACTCATCTCAGGGCCATGAAGGCAGCCAGCCTGGTCACAGAAGACAGCAGAATCCAGAGAAGCCCTGAGAACCGAAGCCCTGGCTGACCATTCACCGTTCCACCAACCCAATCTTGAAACCAACAAGACTTGGAGTCAATAAAATGCATTGTTTCTAAACCAGGGGAAGGGGATTTTCCTTTCACATTATAGCCTGAGGCAGCTTAACTGATAACCATCAGCTCAGTTATCACATCAGCATCAAATCTCCATGACAACCCTCCTTTAAGATGCTTCTATTCCCAGTTACAAAGGGAAAAACAGGTGGGGAGGATTTACTGTTGGGCTATGTGAGGACCAAATTTTGGGAGAGAGGAATTTGTGTGTGTGTGTGTGTGTGTGTGTGTGTGTGTGTGTGTGTGTGTGTAAGACCTCAGTTTTAACTAAGGTTTGTTATGTACTGGATTCTCTTCCTAGAGTGGAAAATGAATACAATTCTTTAATTTTTATTTTTAATCAATTAATTTATTTTACTGTTAACATGGGAAACCAAATCACCTTTTTTTTTTTTTAGTTTCCTCATTCCCAAGACAGGGCTCCTACGTCCAAAGTCAATCTTTTTACATTTTGCATACTGCTGCTTGACAGGCTCATGCTGATCTTAGATATAAGTACCCTTTTCTGTTTGCTTGTTTTGCTGAGAATTTGTTTAGCAAACTGTTTTCAGTTAATAAGGATGTAAAACAGTGCCTGGTCCTCGACTCCATAGCTGAATTGCAAGTTGGAGTCTTAACTCATCAGCTGGTCTGCTCCTGGCTCTGTATCCATGCTGCATGCTTCAAGTTCCACCAGCTTCCGGGACCCCAAGGGTTATGTCATCGTGTGTATGTGTGTGTGTTTCCATGTATGCTTGTGTATTTGAAGGTATGTATACTCAGGATGTAGCCTACCTTTTTGTTGCTGATTTTTTTTTAACTACTTGTGGGGTTGGGGAAGTGGTTCAGTGGTTAAGAGCACTGGCTGTTCTAACACAATATCTGGATTCAGTTCCCAGCATCTACATGACAGCTCACAATCATCTATAACTCTGGGTCTAGGGCATCTGACATCCTTTCATCCTTTCCCACCACTTCGGGCACTGCATATATGCATACACATGGCACACACACAAACACACACACACACACACACACACACACACACACGCACGCACGCACGCACACGCATGCATGCAGACAAAACACTCTTACATACAAAATAAAAATGAATGATGTAAAATTTATTTATAAATTCAAATTCATCAGTCTTGAAACTTGTGGATTTTTTAGACAGGCTGGACTTGAACTCCTGGTCCTCCTACTTCAGCTTCCCATGTCCTAGGACTGTAGGTATGCGCTGCCATAGCTTGTGTTGTGAAGTGCTGGGGATCAAACTCAGGGCTTTGTGCATACCAGGTAAATACCTAAAAGCTGAATTCCATACACAGCCTCCATCTTGGTTTCTAAGATGGTGTCTCATTGACCTGGAGCTTTTCAAGTTGGCTGACCAGGTCCTCATGCTTGCCAGGTAAGCATGTTACCAGCTTAGCTGGCTCCCCCCACCCTAGCCGATGCCATTTTCCATGGTTGGTTAGTAGAATTTCCATGTTCTCTTTGTATCTCAAATGTATATTTAGTATTTTGGGGATTAGAAACACAAACATGTGTCACTGTGAAATTTTCCCTTATTAAGAACAACTTGGAAATAGAAGTCCCTGTAGTTATCTAAGGCAATGGAAGCAAAAGGCTGTTTGTCACTTAGATAAGAGGCAGGGAAGTCTGCCTTCACCATGAATATGGAAGAATGATTTGCCTAAATGATTCAGAGATGATTTGTCTAATATATTAATTATGAAGAAGAATTGTGTACATCTTAGTGCTGCTTATATTAGAACGACACACTTGTCAGACTGGCCTGGTTTTCATAAGCACACTATACAAGGAGAAAACATGAAGTAGATTTATTCTTGTGTTCGATTGAATGTGTGCTTTATTGTACACACTTTGCTTCTGGCTACAGACAAAGTCATTTATCTGCAAGTCTTCTATCCTTCTCATTTGCAATGACTGTAAGATTAACCGATGGTGTAGCATCCTTGTTCAGGCTGTATTTATGAAGGGTGGCTGTTCTCACGCAAATAACTTCCAATATTTTTAAATTGTAGCATCTTTCATGAAGATGTGATAGTAAGTCCTTCAGGCATAAAAGCTGAGATATCAGCTCATGTTAACAACTTGGAAGGAGTTTTTATTAATTTGCTTGAAAGGGGAAAGAACCAACAGGCAAGAACTGAAAATAAATAAATAGCATTTTGTAGTCACAATGACTCACCTTGAGCCTCTCAGGTATGAGGGTGTGTGTAACTAATGCTTGCCTCTGGGTTAGTGCAAGCAGAGCATAGGGTTGCCTGCTTGGCTTTTTCCCTCTGCTCAAGGGCCCTGCAGACATTTAAAGGCTGGTAGTATGTCCTTGCTGCAGACTGCAGCCTATTTATATTATCCTCATCAGTGCCAGCTTTGGGCTTTCATGGAGGAAGAAATGCTGCCGAGGTTCAAGGTTCCCTGTCTGTACCATCTCTGGAATGCTGCTGCCTCTGCAAAGAGCCAGCACAGCTCCCGGTTCTGTTTATGACACCCTCACCACACCAGCTTTCTCTGCTGAAAACAAAAACCAACAGAACATACCCCCCAGCTGGTTTGACTTAGCATAGGTTTGACTGGCTTGGTTGTTTGGTGTTTGTTTTCTTTTTCAAATTAAATAATTAATTCAGGCTAACAACCCAAGTTTTCATTTAGTTTCAAACTGAAAAGGACGGGCAGTCACACTGGCTGTATTCCTGGCTTGGTGGACTTCAGAGCCCCAGCAATTCATTTTAGGCAGTATCATGACTCCAAGAGGTCCTGGCTGGGAGGAAGACACAAATCCTTGAAAACATTCTGCTACCACTGCACTGACTGGCTTTTATAAACGCTTCCCAGAGCATATGGCAAGTGAGATTGTGTTTCCAGAAACCATGGATGGGAATGCCTTGCCCTGGCTGCACTTCCACACCAGGACCTCATATGTGTGCACAATGGACTTGACCGAGGCTGTCCCATTCAGAAGCAAAGCTGGACCCTTCTTGGGCTCCTCAAGGCCAAAGCCAACTAGAAACTTGAGTCTGAAACCTGCCTCTCCAAGATGAAGCTGGAGAGGAGGTGCCAGGGGCGGGGGCGGGAGGCGTCTAGGTAGAAGACTCCAGTGTTTCCCGTGTGTACACAACTGCTCTTCATAGAGGAAGCCACAATTGCAGGCGGCTGGCTACTTTGAAAGACACTTTGACCTGTGTATGAAGCCTGATTGGATAATGATGCAGAGAACATGATTATCAAGGAGTAAGTGACACCATGGTAGCTGTTTCAAATGGTCACATATCTCAGGGAAAAGGAAATGGCAGAGCCCGGTCAAGTCTAGAACTCTTGCCTCTCTTTAATGGGTCTAGTTGCTTAAAATATGGTCCTAGAGTTTTGGACCTCTCCCTCCCTCCCCCCTCCCCCTCCCCTTTCCCTCCTCCCCTGTTCTCTTTCCCTCCCTTCCTTTTCCCTTCCCTGCTTTCTTTGTCTCTCCCATATCTCTATTTCTTCCCCCTCTCTCCTCTCTTCTTTTACTTTTTTCCCTTTTCCATGTGAAATAAACCTTCTCCTGTTCTGCCAGATGTTTGCTATTTCATCATCAAGACAGATCCAAAATGAGTCTGCTCTGGCGATCAAACATACTGTCAACCTTTATATCCTAGGTAATGCTGGGCCTTGTCACACTGCTGCCCTGTTTCTACCTGAATTCCCACAGCTCCCTGCCCAGTCACACCAGCTCATACCCAGTGACCTAGCTCCAAATCAGACATCCTTCCTACAAGCATCCTACCTTCACCTTGACCACCCTGAGTATCCAGACCACCTGTAGACAGCTGCTTAAATGGAAGCTGCTGGGGATTTTTTTATTTCCAAAAACTATTTCATTATCAGATTAGTATTTAATAACACACCTGTTGAATTGTGGTAAAGTAATACAAAAGACCCCCTAAATGCACAAAATCTCCTGTGCCCTCGCCCCACTTTCTCTCTTGAAACACTCACCCAACCCTCCCTCTAGGTCTTTGTTTTAAACTTGGATATGTGAAATCACACACTGGGTATATTGTGACAGCCTTTGTGAAACAGAAGACAAATGCCTCAATTTTTAATGGATTTGTCTATATATGTATTGTCTGCATGTATATATGTATGTGCACCGTATGCATTCATGCCTGGTGCCTGTGAGAACTCGAAGAGGGAGCTGAATCCCCTGGAAACTGAGTTAAGGAGGGTGTGAGCTGCCATGTATGTGCTGGGAACTGAACCTGGGTCCTCTGTAAGAACAGTAAGTGTCCTTACTGCTGAGTCATCTCTCCAGTCCTCAAATGCTTCACTTACATTGTCCCTTTTCTCGTCATATCCCACACAAATGACAAAACCCTTTTTACATTTGTTTGTAGCCATCCTTGTGGGCGTGGCTTACATCTCACTGTACTTTTTAGTGAGCGCTTCTATAGTGGCTGGTGATACTGAGACTCTTCGTATCATTAATAGACATCTATGCATCTCATTTGAATCCTTTGCGTATGTAAGTTGGGTGATATGTGCTTTTGTATTGACACAAAAGATTCCTTATTTGTTCTAGCAATGAGTCCATTACTAGGGCTATGAACTGCAAATATTTTCTTCAGATCTGTGGATTATCCTTGAATAATTCTGTCTATTTTAGTTTGCTTTCTAGCACTGTGATAAATCACCACAACCGAAAGCAACTTGTGGAGGAAAGAGTTTATTGGCTTACATGTCCACAGTACAATCCATCACTGAGGGAAGCTGAGGCAGGAACATGGAGGCAGGAACTGCAGCAGAGATCATGGAGGAAAACTACTTACTCCCAGCGGCTTTCTTGGGACACCTTAGGTCCACCTGCCCAGTGTGGGCTGGGTCCTCCTACATCAATCATTAACCAAGAAACTGCCCCGCAGCCTTAGCCCACAGGCCAATCTGATAGACACTGTTTCCAGATGACTCTAACCTATGAAAAGTTGACAGGGCAGTGCCCATTGCCACCTGTGCTGGTGCCAGGATGACGTTGCCTAAGTTCATGAAGATGTCCCCCATGTTTTCTTCTAAGAGTTTTAGAATTCTGCTTACTGCCTTTATGTCTGTGATCCATTTGCAGTTAACGCCTGTGTATGATGCAATGAAAATGTCAAATTCCATTCTCCTCACCATTTGTTGAAAACATTATTCTCTCCCCCATTTAATTATTTTGGCACCCTCGTCAGGAAAAAACAACAATCAAGTTGACCACGAATGTAAGAGTTTCCTTCTGAACTCTCTCTTGTATTGCATTGGCCTATATGTCCGGCCGTAGGCCTGTAGTGGATGGTCTTGCTTACGGCAGCTTCTGAGTGAGCTTTGCAGTCAGAAGTGTGAGAACTTTCCCCACATCTGTTGGATCTCAGTTGTCCCGAGCTCCAGATATCCCTTGTGCCCAAGTGGCATATTTTGAGTGGATCTGGTCAGCAGGAAAAGACAATGTCTCCCTGTCAAGTGAGCAGATGAGGACAGTTCTGGGTAGGCTTGATTGGAATGTTGACATTTGAACCAAATGCATCAGTGGCAGTGGCCTGCATCGCTTTCCCCTGCTGGCAATGGGTCTCCACAGACCTTTCTCAGAGCTGGCTCTCTCTGCTCCAGTGAGGCCCTTACAAGGGGGGGGGCGTGTAGGGGGGGTGAGCCCAGTATGAGATGTCACATGTGGGAGGCAGCTGCTAACACCATCCCGGTGCTCACGACCTCTGGGCATGGAGGCCACTGTGTCTATGGGTTTCATTAGACAAAAGGGTGTGCCTACCTGGCTGGCTGTCTCTGAGCATCTGAGAGAAAAGAGTTTTAATTTGAGGGCCGGTTCATTTGGAAACTCTGAGGTCCTTCTCATTCCCTGTCAATTCTCCATTCTCCAGTTCCTCAGGTAGCCTGTATGGAGCTTTGGTTTTAACTGGCTTTCTATTATTTATCTTAAAGAAAAAAAAGCTGCAGTCTGGGGCTGGGAAGGTGGCTCAGTGGGTAAGCACACTTGCTGTGCGAGTGTGAGGAACTGAGTTTGGTCCCAGTACCCATGTAAAAGCCAGCGTTGGCAGTAGATACCTGTGATTCTGGTGGGAGGTGGTGGAGATAGACGGGGATCCCTGGGACCTGCTAGCCTGCCAGCATAACCAAATCAATGCGCTCCAGGCTCAGTAAGGGATCCTGTCTGAAAAATACGGAGGGAAACTGAACAACACACCTAGTGTTGATCTTTTGCCTCCATATACACATGCGCGTGCACACCACACACACACACACACACACACACACAGAGAGAGAGAGAGAGAGAGAGAGAGAGAGAGAGAGAGAGAGAGAGAGAGAGAGCAGTTCAGGGACACTGTATAACACTCTGTAATCCATTTAAAGCTTTAAAGCTCTGGACTAAATGTGAAACCAAGAAGAGCAATTAGTGACTTGATGAATCAAGGTCCGATTGACACTTTGCTTGTAAAGGAAGTCGTTTGTTAGTGTGAGACCTTATGAGTTAATTACTGCCTCCAGGTCTCCAAACAATAGCCAGAGCCTGGGTGTTTGTACTCCAAACAGTTAGAGCATGAAATCAGCGCACTTAACTTCCATGTGGCTTTAATTTACCAAATACCTCAGCTGAAATGAATGACCGGCCCTGCAACTGAAATGGAAACAGTCTGCTCATCTGCTTGCTAATTGTTTTCTCCTTTCCTCTTGTCTCCAAACCAAGAGAAGGTCATACCCCCACAGAGGGATGGGAGGCCACCGCCCCTCCGGTTCCACACTGTCCCAGACCCGTGCTCAAGCGAGAGGGTGACACCAACCGCAGCACTGAGGCTGTTGCTCTGCCATCTGGCAGGACAGCCCACGTGGCTTTGTGAGAGCTGCTGTGGGCTTCCCAAAGCAGCTTAGGTGGGGCTGTCGACTGTAGGAGACCCCTTCCCGGGTGCTGGCAAAGGTCGTTCATTCTTAGGAATCCAGTGAGAAGTTTCCAAAAATTCAGAGTCACAGTCTAGCCAAAACCAGTACTGCACAACTGGGTCTGAACTGTGCAAGTATGCTCCCCCCTTCCGTCCTTCCTCCCTCCCTCTCTCCCTCTCCCCTTCCTCCTCCCTCTCTCTTCCCCCATCTCTACCTCCCTTTTCCTCCTGCTGCATGTCCCTCTCTCCTCCTCTCCTCCCTCCCTCTGTACACACATTATCTCACCCCATCTCTCTCCATCTCTGCACAGAGTGTAACCCTTCCATCACAAGCACTCTCTTCCTCTTCTGCCATGAGCACGTGCATCTCTGTCTCTGTCACTGTCTCTTCTGTCTGTGTCTGTCACACACACATAGGTGATCTTGGCCTCTGTAGTGTGTGCATAGTCTCCTCGTCTCTCTTTGTCCCATGGTCTCTGTCACTTGGCTTTTCTCTCTCTCCCTCTCTTTGCCCCCTCTCTCTCCTCATTTGCCATGCTCTGAGCCACCCCCTCTCTTTTTTTTAACCTATTTCCTGTCCAGTACAAGTTTCACTGCCACCTTGGTACTCAGGATGTGTGTGGCTGACGAGACCCATCAATCCTTCATCAACACTGCCTTTGCCCAGGGAGAGTGACCGCATCCTGTCCACGGCCCTCTGAAGCCGTTCCTCCACCTGCCTGCCTGTATGGTGGGTGATAGGTACTGCGGCAGGCTGTAACTACATCATGGATAGAAGTTCACTGTCTTGTCTGGCTGCTTCAACCTAGTCCCCAGCACATGGAGAAGGCTCACTAAATGTTACAGGGATAAATGAACATGTACAGCCCCTCGACTGAGAAATAGTTTGAATTCCTGTGCCAGACCACAGTGTCTGCAATTTTAAAAATGTGGCTGGAATCACTGCAATAAAATACTATCTGCCAGGCTTTGGCTGTGTCCCACCAGAGGCTGGATAACAGCTCAGTACTGTCATCCAGGTCTCCATTCTGGAATAGTCTCAGCTCCTCTTTGGCCTCATGCACAGGAAAGATACTTGGCCTAGAAGGCAGAAAGCCAGGGTCCCAGGCTCAACTGTGCTCTGGCTGTGCCCTGGGTGCTTAGCACCCTAGTTCTCCAAGGAGGCCATTCACTGGAAGCCCTGCTGTCCGGCCTGTCTGCCTGCTCTGAGCACAGAAACTCATTCCGCCTGGCCTCTGGCCCCTCCATCGGTTTGCTGTCAGCCTCCCCATTGATTTTAAATTTTATTATTGGCTTGTGGAGTGCTCAAGGGCCTGCTGCTTTCCTTCACGATCGATTCCCCTGTTCCTGGCGGAGAGAGGCAGAGCTTTGCCACCCTCATCCCTCGGCTACTGACCAGCCCCTCTGTCTTGTGCCTGGAGCCCCTCAGCCTGTTCTAGGCTGAGTCTGGAAGGCAGGGCTCATTTCCTCAGACATCTGTGATGCTGAGACACGGATCCAAGCCATGCTGAAGAGTTTGTGTATTTGCCAGGACCAAGGGTCAAGGGGTAACCTTTCCATAATCGCTTGATATGCTTGCCCTTATTAAACCATCTGAGAGTCTGAGGAAGTAGGTAATTAATTGATCGCCAGCCTACAAACAGAGAAACTGAGACTCAGACACAGCAGTCCAGTGACCTTAGGGGCACTCATTGTCCTGGTCTGTGTTGGCATGTACTGATACAATAACACACAAAGGCAACCACATAGGTCAGTGGCTCTCTCAGGCTGATCTGTGCCATGACCCATGAAACAAGTCCCAGGGTCACACCTCTGTCATCTCAGCCACATCAGATCAGGTTAGAGGGGTCTGACCTGGGGTGGGAATGGGGCTCAGTGGGAGCATGCTTGCCTTGCAAATTTGAGGTCCCAAATTTCATCTCCAGAATGACGGAAGGAAAAGGTTCTGTATCTTCCTGGCCACTGACCGAATCTGCTTCTCATGCTGCTCCAGCCCGTGTGACATAACCTATTCTGGTAAATTTTACATGTGCTGTTTAAGCTTACTAAGAAGTTGGCTCCTCCCCTTTGTCTCCAGGTGTACCCCAAGGCCTTTGGCTGGAGGGGGATAGGTATAGCACAAATTATAATTGGTATTAATAATAAAAACCCAGAGACTGATATCAGGGTTAAAGCTGAAGATCAGAGAAGCAAAGCAGCCCCTGTCCTCAGACTGCATCTCTGGGTGGCAGCTGTCTCCACCAAACCTCAGACTGCTTCCGATTCCAGTGCTCCTCAGACTCACTCTGCTCCTGTCTCCTCCCACCCTGCATTCCTTCCTCTACCCAGCCATATCACCCCTGTCTCCGCCTCCACAGAGCTGGGGTCACCTTTCTGTGAGCTCCGTTTCTCTTTAGGACTGGATCAATTTCATGTAGCTCAGGGTGGCCTTGAACTAGCAGAGATCTGTCTGCCTCTGTCTCCTGAGTGCTGGGATTAAAGGTGTACACCACCACTGCCTGGCCTCTATGGCTAAGTAGTGTGGCTAGCTTTGCACTCTGATCTTCAGGCAAGCTGTATTTGTTAGATCATAAACAAAATATCACCACAGATGGGCTGGGTCCTAACACTATGACAAGAAGAGAGAAGAAACAGCAATGCAGCCAGACACGGTACTTTACAACAGACATTACTATTGTTTAACCCATGGTACAAAATTCCCCATGGGAACAAGAAGCTGGAAGGAAGCTCATCCATGGAGAGAGAGAAAGAGCTCAATCAGAAATCCTGGCTGGCTTCCCCAGGCAGTGTCTCCTGGATGCTGGAAGTCCCAGTTTGATGACGTCACCTCCCTTCTCTCTCTCCTCGGGGCTGCTCCAATCATCTCTGCTGGATGTTGTAAACACCTCATCTGATGATTCTGCTTCCTTGTGGCCACTACTCGCTATTTTTGCTTGCCATATGCTTAATAAACCCATCCATTAGAAATTGAAAGCACGTCCTTCGTAGGTCACTCCCCCTTGTGGAACACCTTGTGTGGACTTGTTCAGTGACAGTTGTAGTACTTGTGTACTTCTTAGGGATTGTCTCTGCAACCAGAGGGGGTGGGGGTGGGGAGGTTAGCCCTGCCGTGTAGAATTCTGGCTTTTTCCTGCCATTTTGTCTCTACTTGCTTTTGTACCTGCCATAACCCCTGTAAGAGAGAGTGTGTGCCTGCCAGCTCCCAGCCCCCCAGCCTTGAACAGCAAAGGAGATGTTTG